TATATATATATTGTTATATATAATATATATATTGTTGATGTATTCCTGTTGTGACATTTAAAGTAAGCAGTGAGGAATTCAATAAGAAATGTTCACATTTGGGCCAAAATAAAAACCTCATTTGTTTCTGTCATTACATTTCTATACAAGCTTTCAGCACAAGCCACATGCACTGCCACCTAGTGGCCACGTCAAAAATAGCAAAAGGCATGACTTAAAGCAAAGTTAAAGCAGGCAAGCAGCTCACTTTAACACATTGTGTCAAAACTGCTTCATTGTAAAAGAAACGGATACGCTCCAATAAATTCTCTCGGAAAAACAAACTCCTTTTCTTAGACACGTTCAGATAAAAACACAGCTGCTCGGCATCCGGCTTGTATAACAGTCTTCAGCAGCGAATAAGCTGGAGCCTGCAGGGAAAAGAAGTATTACATTGTCAGAGGCACTTCGGCAGACAGTTGATGTCCTGTATCTATTCCTTTGAAGTTTGGAGACACAAGAGACTGTCGAGCTATTTTTTTACACTGACCCATGATCTGTAGATGTAGAGGTAAATTTAGTTCATCTGGCATGAAAGCATGCCATATAGCAGGTGCCGGAGGATAAAATGCGCCCAATTATCAGTTTCTTTCTTGCAGGTCTGATTGCCCACAACTTTTTTTTCATTTCATAGGTTTTTTTTGTTTTTTTTTAATAAAAGGAAATATTAATTTCCTTCTTTTTCTTGTAAACAGCAGACAAAACGGAAAACAGTGCAAGCTCTTTGTAGGAAAAGTTAACAGTGTTTTTGTATAGGAGTGTACATTTGTTTTTTTTCCAGAACTGATCTAAACAATTTGCAGTCCACATGATTCTGTAACCACTTGCCTTAATGGCTACAACTGAAACATACACATTTAAAGCTTATCTCCAGGTGAAAAAAAGACTACCCATGCACAGGGGCTACCTGCGCATTGCAAGGGTTAACCGCTCGTTTTTATCTAGGGGTATGGTGAAGAGGATTTTTATTTATCTGATCCCCGCTCTCCCAGTAGTCAGGGCGCACCTCTCTCCCTTCCACTTCAGCTCACAGACAGCCCCTCGGCATCTCCATGTTTATTGCAGAGCTATGGGCCAACGTCAGTGGGCTTCGAACCACCGGGGGAGTAGAGGGGGAAAAAGGCTGTCAGCGCCCATATTGGAGGCAGCAGAAATGGGGACCAGATAAGTAAAAAAGCTTTACTCAGGTGCCCTAGACTAAAAACAAGCAGCTAACCCTAGCAGGGTAGGTGGGAAGCCCCACTGCAAGGGTCGTTTTTTTTTCAAATAGAGATAAGCTTTGAATCTGAGCTACAGTCACAAATGACAAGAGAAAAATGAATAGCCATAAAAAGAGGGCAACTCAGGGTGATGGCCAGTATAATTTAACCACCTCCTCTGAGCCCAGGTCACCCTGGACACGCCCCAGCCTTCGACTGGACAGTGAAATAAGAAGCAGCACAATGATAAGCTTATCTCTCTGTCACTCTGCTTTCTCTTCCTTTCAACACAAATTCGCACAGTGTGTGCCGCTGTCGGCACCGTTACGGCCGACATCCCTCGATCAGCTGATTGAAGGAGCCGGTCGGAAAATCTTCGTCCGACCAGAGCCGGCAGCCAATGAGCTGCCGGCTCTGCTTGGGCATTCTGACAGGGGCCGCTGTCAGAATACAATGCAAACAGCATGGATTCCTCTATTGACGCGCTCGTAGTTTTAATGGAGGAATCTGCTCTATTTTTTTCATTGAGCCCACGGGTTAAAGGATAAAAATAGAGCAGTGTATGGCCACCCTTACACTCCGTGCCTGCTGTACAGGATTATCAGATTAAATTCAGGTACTTCTGCTGCATTCATTTGTGTCTTTTATATCTGCCTAGAGTTCAGGCTTAACCTTCATATCTCCTGATAAAGGAAGATAAATCTGTCAGCTTCATGCTTGATGATAGTTCTTTCTAAAGATTATATTCTTACAGTGTACAGTAACTCCCCCACATCAGAGTGTCAAATGTAAAAGTACTGCTTGAAGAATTTTAACAAGCAAGTGAAAAAATAAACCAAAGTCATTTAAAAGTCATTTAAACTGCCATATTATAAAATGTATGACTTATACTACAGTCAGTGTAAAAACTGAATTACAGAGCATAGTGGCCGTGCCACATGCATGTGTAATAAAAGCTGTGTAGTTTCCAGCACATGCAATCATATGAAAAGCAGCTGCTCCATTAAACTTTATGGGATTATTCTCAGCTAATAAGATCTTAAAACCAGAGGGAGCATTCTCTTAGTAATGTCTATGACTTAAAGCTCCACTGCATTTTGAAAATAGGTTGTGCTTCTCTCCACCTGCCCTCTACCCCCTTTAATAAAGGCAAGCCTATATTTGACTTTTAAGAATGAAGCCAACTCCATCTCAAGATAGCCATACATGGCTAGACTTCCCCTCCTTCAGCCTGCGGTCTTAAATCACTCAATTGCTACATCAATGCTAAACAGTGTGGATGGAGTAACCTCCACTGCCAACTATTGTATTCAGACAGCCATGGCACCCACGGCAGCCTGAATGCACAAAAAGTGACTGCATCTGATAGGATGCAGTAACTATTCACCCAAAACTGTCCACCTGCCTCAGTCAATTTTTAAATTGACCTATGTCAAGCAGGGTGGTGCTTGCAGGGCCACCTACAGCTCAAATTCGAGCTGCCCATGGCCAGCATTAGTGTGTCATTTTTTACTGCATCCTAAGCAAAATATGTGGAACCAACTATGGCCTATCTTTCGGGATTTCAATTGCATCTAGCAAAGGGTTAGTGGGAATGGACATTTGCATTTACAGTAGGAATCCGTGGTCTCTATAAAGAAATACATTGTTTCTATGCATAAATACAGCAGTGTCAGACTGGAGTGATGGAATCCATGTATAAGTAGGAGATTGAAACCTTAAAAGGAAGCCATCATGTTTTATATCAGTGCAAGCTCTGGAGCTTGCATCCATATCCTTCCTTCATGTCTTGGTGGGTCACTTTTCTGGACTGAGTATGTATACACTATGATAGAAGCATTGTCTGTCACTGTAAATATGCAGTAAGTGACACTGACAAAGCATGTTTCAGCAGTGAAAGGGTGCAGGAAAGATCATTTCAAAAGAGCAGATCAGTGTACCTAAGCTAGTGGTCCAGTCTGGAGACCAAGGCAACTCTGTCTTAAGGTTGAAGCAGACAGAGCAATAGCCAGGAGGCTGAGAGACTTTTGTGTTCATTGTAATGCCAAAAAAACCTGTGAGGGCCAAAACACTGTGCTACTTCTACATTTCGCTTTATAAAAGTGGGCAGAAAGTCCTGAACAATACACTGATGAATGGACCAAATCCTTGGAAAACTCTCCATTTGAAGCCAGATCTCAAAAACAAGACAATGGCAGCTTCTACATTGCTTTCCTGACATGTGTTGGCCCAGGTAGAACAGCTGCTTGTGTAATATTAGCTCCTTACTAAGACCGGTTTTGCTGGTTAGTACAAAATGAATGTTACCAATGGGCACCCTATAACACTGTAAAAAAGAAATGCTTAGTTCCTAATACATTTCTGGCAGTGTTGTGACTTACAAGCTGAGGGTTTTTCTCAGGATTTTAAGAAAACAATTTGCAAATAAACAGATATCTGAATTTTGCAAATATTAACTTTTAGAAACTACACTGATTCACTGCCGCTTACATGAGCTACTTCACTCATTACTACCTATTTCAGCATTTTAATTAACCGCTACTAATCGCCATAAGATATAAAAGCAGAGGTTTATTGTTTCTACCAAACCAACCAGATGACATGAAAGGAACTGAACTATTTGGCTGAATATATGGAAGCAGATCTTCTTCCTATAATAGGCAAACTCATACCAGTTCTGCGTCATGTTCCAGCCCGGTATCATGATGCTCCATTTCATCATCCCGAAACCTCTTTAATGTCTGTTGTAAAAAAAAAAAGATAGATTTACATGTAGTGACCAACCAGGGATGCTTTAGCAACCTGTGCTCATTTCAAGATAGATTAGTTACCCATGGCCATCCAAATAGCAGTCATGATTTACAGCAGAGCTAAAGAGCAGTGCACCTAGCAATGGATATATATTTTCATCTTGGAGTGTAATTCCAGCCCAAATATTTTCTTTGTGAAGAAAAGTTACAACCCCATTAGGTATTTACTGCTATCCAGGGCTCCGTTATAGTGATTTCTCCTCACTCCCTGTCCTGCTGGTAATGTCTACCAGGCAGGTAATAGGAGAACTCTCTAACAGCAACAAAGACAGGGATAAATATGCTTTTCATTGGTAGAGATGTTTCATTTATGTACGAGGGTCAATTAGAAAGTAATGCCTCCATGTCTGTAATTTGTGATCTATTAAAGTGACTGAATGTTCATGTACGATGGTATAGAGGTGTCCTTACCCCACTAATGTATGCTTTTCTTTTTCAGATTGAGTGATTAGAACTAGGGATGCACCGATACCACTTTTTTAAGACCGAGTACGAGTACCGATACTTTTAAACAAGTACTCGCAGATACCAATTACCGATACTTTTTGTTACAGGGACAGGTCCCATTTTTTCTAAAGCAATACAAACTAATGCTTTAAGGTCACTTTCTTAATATTATGGTCCATGAGATGACGAAGGAGCATGACGCCGTCTTCCCGGCCAATCAGAATGCCGGGCGCTGCGTCATTACATTGCGCCCCTTCTTCCTTATTTACTAGCTTCCTGACCAATCGGGAAGCCGGGCAGCGCGTCATTGCACGCTACCCGGCTTCCTAATTGGCCGGGAAGTCGGCTCCCTGCTTTCTCATCTCAAGTGACGAGAGAGCATGGAGCCGTTTCCTGGCCAATCAGGAAACCGGACAGCGTGTAATGATGTGCTGCCCGGCTTCCTGATACAGGAAGTACTCGTGCTAGGTATCGGAGCATTTGGGCGAGTACGAGTACTCACCCAAATACTCGGTATCGGCACCGATACTTGTATCGGTATCGGTGCATCCATAATTAGAACCATGGATCTGCCTCTAACACAACGAGCTGTAATTGAATTTCTGGCGAAAGAGGGTTGTTGACCTAAGGAAATCCATAATCAGCTAAAGAATGTTTATGGGGCTGCTGTAATGGAATTTTTGGTTTCTCCTTCTTGAAACGTCTTCACCCAACGCCGCAAATTGCTAATATCTACTACAGTGTCCCCATAAATGGATCTTTGGTGTAATTCATCTAATTATGCCCTTCTACAACTTTATTTAATTCTGTACCCTTTAAAAACATGTTATATGATGGAATTTCATTTAAGCACCTGCAGTAATTCCCTGTGCTTTTCAGGATCTCTTTCCATGAGAGTCCTGATTTGACTGTTATAGTGGTTTGATATAGACTCTTCCACAGCTACTGTACACGCCATTGCACCACTCTTCCCCAGCAGAGCTGTACCAGCACCTGAGTGGGACAAAATGTGATAAACCATGAACACAAGCATTCAGAAAATATAATAAGGAATTAAAAACACAAAGAAGAAGCCTACCTAGTACGAATCCAGCCACATTCCAAAATGGCAGCAGTATGGTAGGCCGGACCCTGTTTGCAACCATTAGCTCATCAAACTTTTTAAAATGATCTTTCTCCTGATTCCACATATGCTGTAAAATATACTTTGGTTAACACTGAATTTTATTTTGCCTGACATAGGTTTTACATTTTTTCTACACAATTTAAACAATGACTGTATGAATGTTTCATTCAAACAATCCATTATCTAAACATTAAGGTGGTGTATACTACATCAGTAACATTGCTTTGTGTAAACCAGAAGACGGTACCTTATATATTACCTCAAAATGGTTGACATTATAATCTAAATGACACTGAACTCTGTTGCAAAAAATGAACCTCCCCCCACACCTTTCACTTAACCTGCATTTTTTTTTTTGTCTTAGGTTGTGAAGCAAGGTATGCTCACCTAAGTCCACTAATCAGGTGCCCTGCCCTCTCCATTTCTTTTTTTTTTTTTTTAGGCTCCATACATTCAGAATAGGGGTTAAAGTGTGAATCCCTATTTTTTCTGTATCAATATGTTTATTGAAATTTTCACATATCAAACATAATAAAGATATCGGTTCACAGTGTATCAATGCTTTGGTTCTTCATTACAATCCTGAATGCACAAGTATTAGAGTTACGTGTGATACATAAGCATATTCAAGGAACAGGGAGACCTTGCATTCGCAAGCGCTCAAATTAAACAGTCGACTCTATAACTGCCATCACCATTTCTAATACACTCTTTGGTGATGTGTGCCTGGTAACTGGTCCCAAACAGTCCCCTCTGAGAGGACCCTGACGCTAGATAGCCAATAAGACATCATGCAGGCAGTGACATGGACACCTAAAGAAGGACCCCACCTCATGTAAACCGAAGAGGAGAGAAGACTTGGCACTGGAGGGCCACATGACTGGGGCTTTAGGTAAGTGAAAAGGGCATTGAGGTTTTTTGTTTTTTTAATATCAGTGTTTAGTTAGAGAGAGGACAGGTTTCATGTTTTGCCCAGATTTGGGTTTTAAAAGTCCACCCCAGCCAAAATTCCACTTAGCTTTGTATGGAGTATAGCTACGATAGATGCTCTTTTATTTTTTAATTGCTGTCTTTGAACTCAATGGGAAAGCCCGATTACAATACATGTGTGTGTCCAGTTCTGAAGGTAATTTGTTTAATAAATCTTCTTCTTTATCCTTCCAAAAGATTTGTAACATGATGCTTACAGATGCAAATTGGCTGACTGTTATGTTGACCCTCTGGCTTCAATAACTTAAAGTCACTGATCCATCACAAGTTTGCAGATTAGTAAAAAGTTCTTAGCTACAATACAAATCAAGACAAGATGGTAAGGAGGGCCCTGCCTGTGAGGGCTTACAATCTAAAAGGGAGGGGGAAGTGATCTCCTTTAATAGTTGTATTGAATCACAATAATCTCACACTTCAGACAGTAAATGATAATAATCACTTCTATTACTTTTTACTAATATTTTAGACAGTGATAATTACTGGATTTACAATATAATGACGAGTTCCTTAGATTACACGTCGGTCTATGTAGCCTGCAAATGACACCTGTACATCCACTAACCTGAATGATGGGTCCTACGGATGATCTGCCCAATACGGCCATTTGCCCAGCATAGATGCGATTCGCTCCATACTCCCCAGCGTGATCTACTCTTATCACGCGATCCAGCAACGCTTTATCTCCATCATCTGTGTAGCCTCTTGAGCTGCACTGTCTGGCTTGCACCATATGCACAGGTAAACAACATGGTCGCTTTACACCTTAGATTTAAAGTACAGGAGAAAATCTGAATAATAAGCATTAGTATTGTGTTTATTATTTTACTTTATTATAGTGCAGATGCAAGGCAGATAGGTAATGCTGTCAGACACATATGTCACTCCAAGTAAGGCCTGTGTCATAATACAACTCCTGGGTACTAGTTACTGGATAGATACCCTAGCTCCGTGGTCATGCCACACACTGCTTGGGAACTATCTTGGTTTTGTATGAACCAACGTTTTACAATGAAATTTGTCACGTGCTTGGTATGTTATTTGAAATTAAATAGAAAATCAGCATGTGAAAAGTAAGTGGGTGGGGAGCACCATGAAGAGAACCTGAATGGGCAAAGTGCCATTCTCTTTAACTGGAGGCACGTTTCAAATACGTTTCCAAGCAATATAAAAATGCTGACAGGTACAATACGAGACTTGAGGTAGCACAGGCCTGCACATAATGAGTTACTGTCCTATAAACATGTATTGTTTAAATGGACCATAAAAGCTAGGTTTTTATATCCAGGAATTTGGTCGTTAGGGTTAGTTGCAGTCCTCAGGTGGCATTCCAAGGGGGTGATTTACTAACCTAAACACACTCACGCACCAGGTGCAACCAAAGTATTATTGTACGTCTAATGGAAGGGGAGCTAAAGAACACGTCACCTGGAATTTTCAGACAAAATTCAGGTTTTTTTTGTATTTTGTATTCAAAAGAGGGACAGGGAGGCCAAACATCTATATAAATATAAATGAAGCTCTGGGGTCTCCTATTGTAAATATTCAGAAGTTCATTTAGTATTTTATCTAATGGATCATTTCATTGAAAACTGATATCCGAATGTTTTTTCAATGTTGTACATCTCCTAAGGACTCTTGATATCTGCGTTAAGCACACCGGCTAGGGAGAGGCGAAGCAGTTCTCTCGTTGTTGGATTTTAACTTTATTTTATGTTATGGACAATGCAACAGGAGCTGCAGGAACTCAGTGTTGGAGTATTTAAGACATATAATAGGGCCGGGGCAAACTCAGTCCACCTTGCTTCACTTATAGCTAAAATCCCAGTTTCGGGTTGGCTGGTCGTTTAATATACTGCACATTATTACAATACTCATGGACAACAGGTGACGTAAGGGGAAGTAGGTAAATACATGGGTTTGCCAGCAACTATCATTTTAAATAATGTTACTAGCACCTAAGGCTGGGTTCACACCTAGGCGGCACTGTTTTTGCGCATTTATACGCGCGTCAACAGCATGAGGTTATTTGCATGTTTATGCGCGTTGTGCACATTTGTATGCACGTTTTAACGTGCGTACAAGAAGGCGCGATTGGCAGCTCATAAACCTTTGTGGGCAATAGAAGGACGTGCGTATAAACACGCAAAACCGCTCACAAAAATGTAAAACATGCTTCTGTTGCGCGTTTCTGGGCATTTCCAATGAAGTCCATGGGGCAAAAAGGCGCTTTTAACTGCTCAAAGAAACTTCTGTATCTTTTCAGGCATTTGGCATCTTACTGCTGGCGTTTTTCTCTTCAGGTGTGAACCAGGGCCATTGAAAATCATGGGGTTTCTTGTGTTGGGCAGTTAAAAGCGCTTTTCCAACTGCTCAAAAACTCGTAGGTGTGAACCAGTCTTAAAGCGGAACTTTAGTCCAGATACGCTTTAACCCTTTTATTGCCACTGCAGAAACTAAGTAGGAGGAGCAGTAAGAGGAGGTAAACAAGCTCCTGTCCATCATACCAACCATGAGCATGTGTTTAAAAAAAGAACTCTAGGATTTTTTCACTACAAGGGTTATCTGCTCGTTTTGGTCTAGGGGTGAAAATATACTCACCTAATCCTTGGTCCCATCTGGCTGCTAGACTGGTCCCTGTACCCTCTTCTCTCCCCCAGGCTCCAGCAGTCTAAAGACCTGTGATGTCATCACATGCAACGCAGATCAATTAAACGTGAGGGTGTGGAGGGACATTCCACAGCCAGAGCAGAGGGGGGGGGGGG